CTAACCAACACATTTTCAGACACTTTTTCATTAAAAGCCTATTGATCAATCTTGAATTTTTTATCGATCTTTTACTTATATATTGCCGTATCACACATTGGTCTTCAGAAAATATTGATTCAGAGCTATTCAGCTCTTCCAAATATTGACATATTATCAAAAAATCATATTGATTAACAGTATCACCAACAACCTTATCAGAAAAGTCTTTAAATATTGCAAAATTTCAAGCTTGTGGTAAACACAAATTTTCCAAAACTCTAATTTTCACTTCAAAGTTCAAATTTCATCATCACCAACAAATGCTGTCAGTCATTTTCCTTGAAATGATAAGCTTACTTTATCCATTTTCAAGGAAATGTGTGCCAACTACCCAAGTCTGAATAACTATAGTTTTTCTGTCAGAAACAGCACAAACTTTCAGTGATAAGACACATAAGTCCTAAGGATATCATGTATAGCATGGTGGCTGCAATTAATAATACCATATTGTATATTTGGAAGTTGCTAAGAAACTAGCACACAAAGTTCTTGTCACAAGGAAAAAAATAAAAATTATAACTATGTGGTGATCATAGTGTTAACTAGGCTTATCATGGTGATCTTTTTGCAATATAAACAAATGCCAAATCATTATGTTGTATACCTGAAGGTTACATAATGTTATATGTCAGTTATATCCACCCAAATTTTTTTAAATAATTTTTTTTTATTTTAGAAGTTCAAATGCTGTTCCATATAAAAACATGGCAAATTTGTCTCATAAATGTTCCTCAAGACAATAATCATAATTCAATATATGGCACAGATGCTATATGGTATGTTCCATTTTTGTCATACAATATTAAAAAGACATATACTTCAAGGTCAAAATTTACTAAATTTAATATTTTGCTCACTTTTTCTTAAGTGAGACTGGCATTTTTTTCTTCTTTGTTGCAAGCACACGGTGGAGAATAATGCAATGACTGCCAGTCACCTTGTTTCACACTGAGGCATCAAGAATTTAAGTCTGACCCTGCTTGTGCATATTCAGTGCAAATGCAACATGGTGAAACAGCTAAGAACATCTTAGCCTTAGTATGAAAGTTGTTTTGATCTCACAGACCTCCTGCAAAAGTCCCAGGGACCCCAGAAGCCCCTAGACCAAACTCTCAGAGCCGCTTCCTTAAATACATACACTTAGATGCTAAAAGAATAATAGAAATGTTAATAGCTCCACAATTTGCATAAGGAGGAGCATTCTTGAGTAGAAATAGAGAGCTGAGGAACTTGACTCAAAGCTGCAAGTGCACAGCAAGTTCATCTTATGTTTATTAGAAGGGATAAATTTATGTTACTGGACATTAATCAGATAAATTTACATATTATTCTGATTATCATGGACAGTCTATATGAGTTCATTATTAAGGAGCTTCATAACTAAATTTCTAAACTACTTTCTGAAAACTAAATGTAGTTTAAACACTTTCTTCAATGTGAAACTGAGCAGAAACAGTTGATAAGCTTTAAAATGGCCCACTTTTTCAGTTTAAATACAGCTAAATAATAGCCACTTGATTCATAATGCCAAAAAATTGTAATTTAAGTGAAATTTACCACATATAATATTGGGACAAATGTTTAATAATCACGTATCTTCTGGTTTTCATAGTTAGGCTCTTGAAAGGTACACTGGGAGAGAGTAATATTGACATTCAAATTCAATACCATGAATGACTCATTTCAATAAAAATAGTTGTCCTCTGATGGCATCAAGAAGAGTGTCAATCACAGGCAAAAACAAAATCAAAAACAAAAAACCCAAATGATGATCTATGAACTATTTAAAATAAACTAGAGTGAGTGTACATAAACATTTACCAAAAAACATTTTCACAATACTTAAATTCTAGTTATGGAATCATATATCCTAGTGATCCATGGTATAAAATTGCATTTCCAGCCACACAACTGAAATTGTATAAAATCAAAATGAAAATAAAGGGCAACTTACTCGATCCGCTAATCCTCCAGGAACTATAGTCCTCACAACCACGCCACTTGATTTTCCTCCAACTATTCCAAAACCTAACCCAGTGCCATCATTAATGAGCTCAACATCTTCAATATGGCCCCAACGAACCTACACATGAATGAATGGCAAGAGCCAAAGCGTTAGTAAAACACACAGATTCTTAGCTGTTGCCCAATACAGTAATTACTAAAGTAACAGGTATACAACAAATTGAACATCCATACAATTAATCAAGGCAACTTTCTGGAGGCTAGGAGATAGGTAAAGATCATCAGATGGCCCCTGCCCTGAAGGATTTTATAATCCAGTAGAGACAAACTAAAACACAAGTAATTAATACAAGATAACATGGAATCAGATGACATATAGCTCTAATAAACTAAAACACAAGTAATTAAAATACAAGACAACATGAAATCAGACGACACATAGCTCCAAGAGGACAGAAACATGTCTGTCTCATTCTCCAGTCTATGCCCAATATTAGCACAATGTCCAGCACATAAGTAGGAAACAATAAATATGTGTTTACTCAAATTGAATAAGAATCACAAAATATAAAGATTTGGGCAGTGGACAGAGACAAGAAGTCAAATTCAATGAACAATTCTGGAAAGCTTCAAGGAAAAAGTAGCATTTTAATTGCATGACAGAGAAAAAAAAAGATATTCAAGCAAAAGCAAAAATGTAAGGGCAAAGCTGGGCCAGATAACAGAATGGGTCAAGGATATGGTCAAATAAAAGACTGGATTTAATTGGATGAGTGAATGGGAATAACTGAAAGTGTTAGAAGAAAGGACAGGAACAAAGCACTGGTTTAGGAAGATTAATCTGACAGCAATGTGAAGAATAAAATGGTGAGAAGGACACAAAGTGAAGGGACTAACTTGGCCAACTCCCATGAGGGAGAGGCAGGTAGGCCTGAATGGGGATACTAGCGACAGGATTATTCAAATCAGACCAAAAGACAACTATTTTTCCTCTAACTAGCAGCTTTCATCAGAAATGTGCATTAAATTCACATTATCTAACTGCAGAAGCAAATTCTCCCTCTCAAGATCATTAGGGCATATTTATTTAATTAGCTTTTCTATTATACTATACTATACTGGAAAGTTACTATGCAACGTTAAAATAACTAGGAATATTGGGATGCTTAATAAATTCATATCTGGAACAGTATCTATTATCTGGGAAGAAACATTTACTAAAAATATTCGTACAGCTTTTACTCTATACCAAACACCTTGCGTAATTCTTCAAATGCATTTTCATTTAATCTTCATGATGTCTCTGCTAAGTAGACATTATTAGTAGTTTCAAGTAACAAATGAAGAAACGGAGGTGTGGAGAAGTCAAGGAACCTGGCCAGTATGACACAGCTAGAAAATGGAACAACTGGACTTGAACCCATCTTAGCTGATCCAGAGCTCTTGTTCTTAAACACTATGCTAAGCAATTTCCCATTTTGTTCAGTCTATTTATTATGTAAATTGTGCTGTATAATATTACTGATTACAAGGAAAATGTCTATACATTAATTTGTGTTATGACCTTGCACTGTACCCAGTCTATTTTGTCTTTCATCCCAATGAATGAAAATTAAATAAATCAGTGAGCACTTAGTGTTATAAGAAAATAAGATTATAGCTTGCAGTCTGAAAACGCAGGCCAAACTCTGTCAAATAAAGCACGTTTAGATTCCCAAAAGAGACATATTCTTTTTTTTTTTGTTTGACACACATCATTACACTGAAAAAAAGAAAAACTTCTATAATTTTGTAGTATCAATAATCTAGTCATAAACATCCAATATAATTTACAAAAATAATGTTTCTGAAATAAATAACCAAATCTTACTTAAGATACTCAACCATAAATCTCCAATAAAAACTCTCAGCTTAATTAACTGGCTATATCACTAAGGAACATAAGACTCTTCCCATCACCAAATAAGTTACAACTAATATAACAATTTGTCCTCTATATTAAATAATAATCTTAAATAAGTAGAACCACAGGACACTGAAATAACAAAACAAAAACCCTTCATGAACTACCTTATTTACAATGCTAAAGTTACATTTGGAGATAACGATCATCTTCTCTTAAACTATGACAAGTAAAATGACACCTTTTAAATGCCTTTATACTTCTTAAAATCAATTGTATAATTGAAAATTAAATATTTTTCAAAATTTGCAACTCACTGTTTCAGGCACAGTGGTATCAGCAAGGCTGGTATTAGTACAGCTTTTTGTGTGGACTGGTTCCCTGGCCACAACCAGACGCAAAGATCCAGTGGTCTGCTGCAATAATGCAATTGCTTGTTGATGGGAAATGTACTGATCCAGTGGTGTGTCATTAATAGCCAATATTTGGTCATTTTCCTTTAATCTTTTATCCCTTTATGAAATAAGAAAAAAAATTTTGTTTTATGTGACGTAATACCCTGAGTTTTAAAAATCTATTATATTCACCTTAAGCAGTTTGCTTCTTATGGTTACTATTTCACTTAGTATATTTATTCAAATATTCAGAGCACTTTTCATTAAAACACTTTTAAAGCTAATTAATCAATTAAGTGGTGCATCCCTAAACTCTCTCTCGAACACACAAACACACACACATATTTTAAAAGTCATTTGGGTAGAAAAATAAGCAAAAACAATGTATAGGGCCCCCATTGCCAGTGTTTACAAGCAGGGACACTGCCCCCATTTCTGTACCAACTCTGCTCTCCTAAACCCCTTCCAATCTGACTTTAACATCTACTACACCAGGATAACTAATTTCCCAAATTCACCAATAACCTCCTCTCTAGCAGATTCACACCATCATCACCACTGTCCTTCACTTTTCCACTGTTTGTTAACAGAGGCTGCACTCTCCTTGAAAATCGATAGAGATTACTTACCAATCTGTATCTAAATCCTCTCAATCTCAATCACCAATCTCCCAACTCCTAGCCAAGGTAAAAACCACTATTTTTTAAAAGACACTAGTAAAATCTTAAGGAAGAAAAGCACTATTACAGTTAATATTTACTGAGCATTTACGATGAGCCAGGTATTATGCTAAATGCTTCTCACTTAATCTTCAAAATCACCTTTAAATTTTACATGCAAGAAATGAAAGCCAGGACATATTTAGCATCTTATCCTAAGTAGTGCTGACTGTGAAGCACTCTTTAACTTTAGTGCTGCTAACAGTAGGATTTACTGTATTTGACTTTAGTCCCCAAACACTACTCTTCCTCTTCCTGTTTCTCCATTATCACCACAATTCTTCCTTATCCTACCTTATCTCTCTTGTATCCACCCATCTTCTCCTATCCATTCCCAATGTCAACCATCCAGTGGAGATCCTTATCAAATACCTAAAACCTCATTTGCAAAATCCCTCAAGGTTTATTTCTCTAGGCTCTCTTCACGCTGGTATTTCCCAACTCAAAAATGTATAATGATTATGGTTATTGACCAATAAGGAGAGTCAAAGGAAAGAAAACAACTCTTGTTATGATTGTTCCATTAAAGAACATTTGTAAGCTTCAAAATACAAAATTCTCCCTGAGAAGGCATATATCTCAGAACAGAGAATTCTAATTCATAAATTTAGAATTGTGAAAATTCTATTATATTGCCCTTATGTTTCTGCTACCACAGCAGATTCAGCAAAACTTTATCATGGACCAGAATTGGGAACTTCTGACCTCTAGGGCACAGTGTAAACTTGGTTGGTATTTGAGGGCCTCTACATTTGGTCCCAAAGCACTCTTCCAATTTGGCTTCCTCCCAACATAAACCCCTTTCCAACTATTCTTATCTACTCTTTCCCACTCAGACATGTCTGGCATTTCCTGCTGCTGTGTAAATGGTTTTCTCCATCTCAAATGCTTTTCTACTCTGCTCAGCCAAATTCAGTCCACCCTCCACAGTCCAGCTGAGTGTCTCTGTGTCTGCCTCATTCTCCTTATCAAAATTCTCTGAATCACTCATTGAATATTCATTTCTACTAAGTATGCTAGTTAAATCCTCCATAGTAAATTTTAAGTTTTCTGAGGACAGGGACTCAAATGTTTTAGTTTGTCCTTTGGAACGAGCACGTGGATATTCCAATTTTTGATGCCAAATTTTGGGTAACTCTCACAACAGATCGTGTAGCACTAAAAATATTACTTAACAACTTTTTATTAAGAAAGGCCTATGTTATATTAAGAGACAGTAAGATGCAAAACTGTATATATTCTATGGCCTTGTTTCTTTATAAAAAGAAAATATTCTTATATATTTCCTAGTTGTCTCAGGGTGGTCAAGGTCCAATAGGTTGAGGGGGTTGTTTATTATATTTCTATATTTTATAATTTTCTATTATATGCATGTATTATTTTCATAATGATCTTCATAATTTTGAAATGTACGTGTTTTTTTAATTAAGAATGTTGCTTGTGACTTTTCCTTAGACCTAAAGAAGCATTCATTTCTCAATGATCACTATAGGATAATATCCTGGAATCACTTCCATTTTCCCATCTCCAGTGTCTGCTTGTCTTTAACTTCCTCACCTAAATTCCTATTCACAGCTTGTTCATGAAAGGAAATCTCTTAATTAATCCCAAATGAATGAGTTATTATTAAATCTTTTCAACCCTGATGTAACTCATTTTGCATAAGTCAGTCTCTAATTTATTTATACTAAAATTTTCTATTTTCTGGAAATTAATCTATTTTATTCTGTCTTTCCTTCTACCTAATAGTCTTCCAGGATGCCTTTTTTCTTTCCAGTTAGTATCTTTTCAGGGAATATAAACTCAACCCAAGATAAACAAGGTGCAGAGGAGAGTTTACTGAAAAATATGATATTGATGCATTCTAAAGTTGAATAGAATTAGCTTAACTGATATTATTATTTATAATTTAACTCACATTATTTATAAATATTCACACTTTCCATTCAAGGGTAGACCAGTTCTTGTCTCTCCATCATAATATTCCTTAATAAAGGATTTCTATGACTTTCAGAGCCAACAGGTCTTTGGTGACCTCCTAAAATAACCCAGTTCTATGTGGAAGGTGCTCAGAAGAAAGAACTGATCAAGATCCTTTAACATGATCGAAAGGTTCTGCATGGCTGGCCTCTACCTTTTTCCAGGGCTTTCTCACACTAAGTACGCACACCAGATAGACACCAGCCGCACTCCAAGGATAACAGCTATATCACAGCTCTCTCCCAGGGCTACCACTCAAGAGCTCCTTTATTCCTCTTCATGACACCTTCTGCTCTCTGCAGACCCCACTGTTTTCTCTCAGATTTCCCTTCAAGCCCACTGCCTCTGGGAAGCCACCTGACTCCTTAGCCCTTGGTCAAGAGTGTTTACTCCATACATTCAAATATCAAACTCCTCTTTTTAGAAATGCTCATCTCAATTTGTAATTATAGACCTGTTAGTACAGAGTAACTGAGACATAAGGATTGACCATATAAACAATGTACAACATTGAAACTACACTAAAAGCAACTGAATTGTATACTTTGAAATGGTGATGCTTATGTTCTGTGAATCATATCCTAATAAAGACTTTTTCAAGTTAAAAAAATTGAAAAGTTGGACTAATCAAAGTTAATAGGCTTTTTGTCAAGAGACTTCATTGCCTTAAGTAAACTAATGTTAAATGACCCTAAGTCCATGTTTCCCTGGATTGTCTAAATTCACCAGAATAGTCCTAGTTTATACCTGCTGTCTCAGTGCCATTAATAGCACACCCTTGTACTTCCTAAAGTATCCCAACTTGGACAATAAATTATGAGATTACCCTAATTATGTATACCCAATCTCCAAGAACAGGATAGTTTCTCAAATATATCTGACCACTGCTGTGGTTCCTCAGACCATAGTTGAGGAAATGCTGCATGACATGGCAGAATTCTGGATGCAAAGTCATGGAAATCCATTATTTCCAAATTTTCAGTTGGGGAGACTAGAACTGATCCCCCATGAATGGAGAATGAGAATTCAAAAATATATTATTGATTGAGAGTTTTTAATAATAGTACTACTTACCTTCCTATTATTCTGATATGCAGTAGTAATTTACAAATAGTAATATAATGAATAATATTAAATGAATAATAAACTAAAGACCTGAAATTATTAAATAGAGACAAAATATAAGGCTTGTACTTACTCCTTTAAAAAAAACACAAGGCACAAGTACACAGAGGGGATCACATACACCTGAGGGGGCTTTAATTTACAGTAAGTGAAATAATCAAGAGCATATGACTATCAAGCAAGCTGTTATAACCTTAAGCTCATAAACAGTAAGAGTATGCAGAATGCAAATTTCAACATTCCTAACAATCAGACCACAGCTAAAAATCATGACCAATTTTGAAAGTCTGGTTGAGAAGAAAGAGTACTAGCTTTGCAGTCAGTCTTGCAATCACATCACTGTTTCCAGTATTAATAGCTCTGTAACTACAGTTAACCACTAACTCTCTCGGAAACTCAAACTAGTCAGACTGCTGTCACCTGTACATGTGAGAGTATTTGCAGAAGGTCTGACAAATACATAAGAAGAGGGAAACTGCTATGGTTACTGTTTTTCTTACTAGTTACTTATCTTCTTTATAATAATGTTTTCAGAATTGTCAGAAAAAAATTAGCAAAATGAACATTTTCCTCACCTGTCTGCTATACTCCCTGGCTGTACTTCCTTCACAAAGATATCAACTTCTCCCAGGTTTTGACTTCTGATGGCCACCACACTGAATCCAAGGCCTCCATAGGAAGGCCGTTCTATATCTATATACTCAATTTGCCGGCCCTAATGAAGGGAGATAAAAAAAAAAAAAAAGAAGTCAGTCAAGTACATATAACCAACAGACACTTTTCAAAGAACTGTAATTATTATTTTGTAAATAGCACAAAAACAGTTTCTCCTAAGTCGTTTCTATAAAACCAAATAAACTCAGCATTTCAGTAATTGTTTCTGGAAATCCTCTCACTTGATTATTTTTAGTAAAACATAAGAGGGGATGTGCAGTGTTCTGTAACCTCAGGGAATCAGATAGGTAGTATTTTCACACTTCATTGACATGATGAGATAAATTCCAAACTGAATGAAAATTCCTGAGAAAAGTGTCCTTTCCCATAGTAAATTCTAAGTTACTTTTTACATTGAATTTCTCTAAATTCTCAATGTAAAATATATTTTTAAATGAGGAAAGCAAATTGGTTATTTCAAAAACATGCTAGGGTTCAGACTAAGTCAGAATCAGCTGTATTTTTCAGGGTTGTATTTTTAATTCTATCATGATAAATTAATATCTATTTTAATAGGTTAGTTCAAAAGATTATGGAAAGGCCACCATTCAAGTGGGCTTTACCTATGACAAACAAGAACTCTGTTACTTTAGTTAATAACCATGTTTTTAACATGAAAACTTCATAAGTGTAATCAACTAACAAAAGTAACATAAAATAATTATTACTTAAAGGACTGGAACTAGACAGTCAAATCAATTGCTTATTATTTAAGTTTTAACAGGTATTAGAGATAAAACTACATGCATTACTCTATCAAATGTTTCCCTAGATTTTTGAACTTACATTGGTTCTAACTCCCATTAATTTTGTTTTGATATAAAATTAAAAGGAGTTTCATCACTTCTGGTTGACATTAATTTTTCTCCTATGATCAAAAGCATAATAATCTCTTTCCTAACAAGTGCAGAGATGGTCAAATTGGAGTCCTCATCTAAAAACTCCCCTCACCACACACAAGAGTATTTATTTCCCTTATGCAATTTTAAGCCAACAAATTTAAAAACACCCAGTTTAGAAAGTACTATTAATACCTTCTGACGATATAGTAATATAAGCAAACAAAATACATAGTAACACATTTTAAAGCAAAAAAGAGTGAATATAGGTTTCTTCTGTAAGTTGTAATAAGAGAAATAAAGCTATATGTTCCCATGAAAAAATATAACTTTACCTGAGCCATCTGTTGAATGACTGAGTTGAAGTTTTCATTTCCTGACTTAGAGTTCCAAGGAAATAACCCAGACACAGTCAAGTTATTAGAGGACCTGTGGGCATTCCCATTAGTAATGGCACTATCCGTAAACACTAATAAACCTTTCTTGGAAAAATCAAAGTTGGCTGAACAACCTGAGGGTATATGGCTGAGCTGTTGGAGACAAAAACAGAGATACATCAACAGAAACCTTCAGAAAAAAAATTATTTCTATTTATTATATTTTCCCCATCACATATATAACATACATGTTAAATATATACACATAAGAGAGATAAGGTACAAATACATATCTGTGTGTTTATGAGGCTGTATTTTACTTAGTATCACACAAAATGTTTAATAGCTTAAAATGCGTTGTTTCCTGCCTTCTATCATTACCTCAAATTAATAGCATGTATAACAGTTCATTCCCACTTCCCATACACAGATACATCCAGTCATATAAGCATGTAAGCAAGACCTGAGCCCTTCTGCATTTATCTGCTTTTCCATGTGGGGAACCGCAGAAGATCCAAGGTAGTATACAAGAAAAATAACATTAAGTGTTTATCAGTGTTTGCTTTAGCACTTATCCTCACATATTATCTCCTCTAATCCTTATAACAGCTCTTTGAGATACTATTACTCCATTTTGTGAACATGAAAACAAACACACAGGCGTTAAGTACTTTCTCAAGATTAGTAGTAAATGAGATGCAGAGCAACTTAAACGTTAGTTTAAAAAAAGGTGGCTTGGAGATAAAAGGGGAGAAATCTATAATTATGGAGAGTAGGAAAATAGTTAATTTAAAAATATCATTAGCTAATACAAGTGCCAACACAGTGGAGTAAAGGTAACGTCAGAACAAATGTCAACAGGACCTCATAGACAAAATCAACTGTAAACTATATAAATCTAAAAGATGTTACTGTGGTGGAATGGTTGGCTACATCTACTCTTTGTCCAGTAAGAGTGATAGATCTGTAGGGATCTTTCTAATTTCTATTGATATCAACAGCATTCACTGTTGTAATATGGGACTCCTTTCATGGCCAAAGAATACAGGAAGCTAACTTTCAAAATGGGGAGTGTGAAAATTGCAGTATAAATTCTGATCTAGAGAAAGAAATTCACAGAAAGATATATGTGCAGAGTTAATCCTTAATTAGTTATTAAAAAAATCACTTGCTCTATATATTTATGGGCAGACATTTGGTTCATCAGACAAAAAATATTTTTCCCAAATTTTGCTAGTTTTCACTTACTCTGCTAAACATCTCAATTACATTTAAAATTTTGCCCAAATTTAATCTATAGAGTAACTACTCAAGCTCAGCATCTAAGACAGATGATTTACAATCAGTTTAGAACCCAGAAACACAGCAACCAAGATGACAGCTAAAACTATTTTACATCACTCTAAATAGAGGTGCACTGTATCCTATAATTCAACAACCATGTATTTAGAGCCTGCAAGAGTCCACGTACTATGCTAAATGTAGCGGAGGAAATACAGATAAATATTAAAACACCAAGTGTACTGCTTCCAAGGACTTTACAATCAGAATGCTCATGATGTTTGGTATTTATTTGATAATTATTTGATAAATATTTGATAATTGAGAGGTATAAATAATGTGCTAAAAGATCATGATCACTTTTTGCTAGAAAACAGACTTCATGACAAAAATATATTTAAGCTAAACACTATCTTATAATTTTGAAGAAAATGTTAAGAATTCTCAAGGCATCTGACCTTTACATATTTAATTACAAGAACCATATTCCAAAGCCAAACACAAAACTGATTATTAATATTTTTAAAGTATCCATGCCAATGCTACTCATATGTCAAAAGTCCCCATATACTCCCTTTGCTGAACTAAAAGTAGTTACAGACAGTTTACCTCTGTCTCTATCTCCTTCTATCTTTGCTGCTTTGAATCTGTCAATATGGAAAACCCTGATGGGTAATTTACCTGCCCCTTTAGTTGCTTGATGGACTGCTGAAGTGTGAGTATCTGGTTGAAGAGCGGACTCTTCAGTGTCTCATAAAACATAGACAGCTTCTCATTCTGTGATGTGTCACCTTTCTCTTGCAATTTCATTTTCAGGCGATCAAGAACTTGCAGGACCTGCAGTTTATCTTGTTTGAAGAAAGATAATCAGTGTACAAGTTAAATCCCATCTTATAGTTCATTTTTGAATCATTAATTTAGTGATAGAAGTATATATCTAGTATACCTGTAGCAGGATTTTCAGGCATTTTGAATTATTGTCTTCAATAACTTCTAAAGAAACCTAAAAAAAAAAATTTTAAGTACAAAAGATGATTTTCCATTAGTATGTATACATATATATATACATGTCTCTAGTCCCACTGAAAGTTAAAAAAAAAATCTCAAGAACAGTCTTCATCAAAAGACTTCACTCTGGAAATTCAAACTTAAGCCATAATGAGGACCTACTATATACCCACTAAGATGTCTAAAACTAGAAAACAAAACAACAGACAGTACTAAGTGCTGACAAAAATGTGAAGCAACTGGAACTCTCATATGTTGCAAGTAGGAATATAAAATGGTACAACACTTCAGAAAATTGGCAGTTTCTTATAAAGTTAAAAATGCACTTGCTATATGACCCAGAACTTCTGCTGCTAAATACTTACCCAAGAAAAATGAAAATATATGACTACAAAAGACCTGTACATGAATGTTCATAGTATTTTTATTTACAAAAGCCCAAATCCAGGAAAACCCAAATATCTAATAACAAATGAATGGATAAACAAGTTATGGTACATAAACATAATAGGATACTCAGAAATAAAAAGGATAAAAGTTACACATGATGAAACATTGAGGGAAAGAAACTAGACAAAAAAGGATACAAACTATATGATTCCATTCATATGAAGTTTGATCTATACTTTAGATGAATTTACCTGGGCAGGGTGAAAAGGAGTTGACTGGGGAGGGATTTGAGGGAGATTTCTGGGGTGATCAAAATGTTTCATGTTTTGAATGAGGTATTGTTTATGCAGACATACATGCTTGTCAAAATTCACTGAACTATATCTTTTAAATTAGCATGTTTTACTGTATGTAAATTATACTTTGACTTTTCAAGTTTTTTTTTTTAAAGGATTCTGGGCTAGAAAAAGAACATCCAAATTAAGTGACCAAGAAGATTTTTAGAGATTAGAAAGAAAATCTCCAGCTGCACAAATGATCCCATACTCTTACTAGTAACCTAAGAGTCTCCAAGGCAATGACCCAATATGGCATTTTCTAGGATAATGTGTTTTAATTCCAGTGATTTGCTCAAGTCAGCCTAAAATATAATGTAACTAAAACTAAAAAGCCAACAAACCTTTGCTATGAGGCAAGTGTCCCTTCCACAGTGGTCATTTTTACCAGTGGTACACTGTTGCAATGAACCATCAAATAAATATGAGTAACAGAGTCAAAATTTTCTGGTGTCAACCCTGGATACAGATTCTGAATTGAGATTTTCATCTTCTAATTCAAGGCCATTAAGTAAGAAAGCATGTTAAAAACAAGTAAGGAATGCCATTGGCATTGATAAAAGGTCCATGTATGGCATCCCAATGTTCAGTGAATTCAGTAAAAACTACCACAAGAACTGCTGAATAGAGCATCATAGAAACACTTCCAATGTGCTAGGCGTCTCAACTGTGCAATTCTTACAGCTACCCATTGACAGGTAACTGAATAACAGGACAGTCACAATGGCTCTGTACTATTGTATAGCAACATGGGCCCCAAAAGACTGACAAGAGCAGCTTTGCGGTCATTAACGTATCAACGTCTCTGAATCAAAGAGTACAAGCTAAAACTATGAGATGCTACATTTTACTCTCAGATCAGCTTTGTTTTTTAATCAATGGTAGCCTCTACTCTAGATGTCACTGAAAAATAGGTGGGAATATAATTTTGCATAATCTTTTAGGAGAACAATTTAGCAGTATCTATCAATATATTAAATGTACATCCTCTTTGACCCAGAATATCCACTTCTGAGTGTTTCTTCGAAAGAAATATTTGAAAAAGGGCACACGGATGAATGTACAAGGATATTTACTGCATTGTTTTTAATAACAAAAGCCCCAGAAAAACTAAACTCTCAAAGCAGTCATTAAAATAATAAAGTAGGTCTGAATGTATTGTAATGGGAATGGTAGGGAAATGGTTAACAGCAAGCATGTGGCTCACTCCTTCAGCTAGAGATTCCCAGCTCCATACCAGACCTCCTTGCTAACACCCTAAAGGTTTTAATAGATAACAGAGTCTTTCATTTTAAAATGTCAGGAAATACCTGATCTGTCTTCATTGCTTTTTGTAAGTAATCTGAGAATGTATGGATTTATGGGGCATGGCTGGCTGGAAGATGGGAGATAATCACACAGACATTTTCTATTTGTGTAACTAAAGGAGTATAAAACTCAGGATTCCCTAAACAAGAAAGGCATCCTTTGAGAAAAATGTTTCTGTATATATTAGAACTTGTCTGGTATCCCAAAACAAAAAAATCTATCCTAAGGTTAAATTTTACTCCTGTAAACAAATTTAAAAATTGCAGTAAAAGTTTGTAAGTACATTTATAAATGACTTGACGCCGATCAGTATGTAAACAGGTATTTTAAGCATGTAGAAAAAAGTGACATTGTTTGGAAGCTGTGCCTTCTGGCTGGGTGCTCCTACAGCAAGGAAGTTCCATGCCTGGCTCCTGTGCACCCCTCCTGCTTGTAATGTTTGAATCTTGAGTAAGGTTTGGTGCTGAGTAAGATCTCACATTCACATGAGTATGCTTTGACAATTCAACCCTTTGTGTTAAAACAGGAACATTATCTAATATACACAATTGAATAGTTAAAACAGTTTCAGGATATGTGCATTATTTTCCCTTTTGTAAGAAAAAAATCCTTGTGTGTGTAGGTGTGGGGAAAATTAAAGTTCCTATGGCCAGTAACCTCACCTGAACCTAAACGACTTGATGATGTAACTGGCCTGCTGCTGGGCTACTGCTTCCACACCCGTAGGTAATGAGCTATTATTGACTGAGTCACTATATAAAGAGCTCTGCCCAGTGGTCTGGGCGGAGGCAGAGACAAGGAGGATTACAGACATATTTCTAGTGCTCGACATATTGCTGGGAGCACAAGCAGGGTAATAAACCCTTTTAACCCAAGAACGTTCTATTGTCATTCCTCTCTCACTGAATCCATAGTAAACTTGCTAGGGGCTGAAACTCATTGGCAAGACAGTAAGTTTCTAGATTTAGTAAGACAGTCTATTTAATAATAGTGATTATGTACTCCTAGAAAGTGCAAGTGGGAATGGAGAGGTGAAAAATTACTTTTACTTTACAGATTTTTGAACTTCATTTAAAAAACATGTATTAATTTTATAACTTTATAACTTAAACAATAAAAGGGAAGTGTGCACCGTATGCTAAGAGAGCTCATAAAGGGAGTGTGACTAGCCCTGCCCAGGGAAGTTTGAGAAAGCTGGAATGACAATACCTTAGAAACCTCTCTGATAAAAGAACAAGAACAAGGTGTAAAAACTGTGACCATTTGTCCACATTTGCCTATGGTAGTCTCAAATTACCAGTATCATTCACAGTGCTCCATTTCACTCTCAGAAGCGTCCCAGTCTGAAGGACAGATAGGGCTGCCCAGGTCAGCGGTTCTCAAATGTGAGCATGCGTCAGATCCATCTGGAGGGTTTGCTGCTGGCATCCACAGCCAGTGTTTCTGATTCTGCAGGCCTGAGAAGAGTCAGGAGAACTGGCTTTTCTAACAAAGTTCCCATGAGGTCTTGATGCTGCTGGCCTAGAGGCCAAAATTTAGAGAACTACTGCATACAGGTGTAAAGGTGCATGAGTTTCTGTGAGAATAACTAGGTTTAAATGACCTAGTGTAAGGTCTCTAAAAATAGCAGAAATTAAACAGTAGTTTAGGTTAGTGTTACTCTAAGTTTGGAGTACACTGTGAGCTGATGCTTAGCCCACAAAATGTTAAGTGCCAAAACTGGGAACAAGCACTTAGAAACCATGCAATGTGGCGGAGTAATGTATATCTATTAAATTTAGTAGTAAAAAAGCTTCACTTACCTTCTATTTCCTTTTTATATTTCATTTTTTTAACAATTATTTTTCTAATAATTTGTTTTACAGAAATACCAGTCCTTGAAAGATGAGGGGGGAATCCCTGATCTTTAACCACTGATAGTCTGAGAAGCCCTGATGTGATAAGACTTTGAGATGGTCCTTGTAAATAATAGTAAGCAACTAAGGAGACTGGTCTTTATCCTGTAAGCAACAGGAAGTAATTAAAGGCTTTTAAGTAGGGAAGTATTGAGTCCAGATTTCTATTTAAAAAGGTATTTCTGGTAATAGGATAGATTAGTGGTCTTCAAACTTTTTCAAATATACATTCCCATCAGCAAAAATATATTGACCACTCACCCTAATCTATTTTGTATAGTTATAAACATATACTACTATTTTCACTTGTGATGTGTGTTTTAAAACATAACTTACATTAGAAAGATCCTGAGAGTAAGGTAAAAACTAAAAAGCAAGGTCTTATTGTCATCTTCCTACCTTTCCAATGGATTATCCTGTACACTTTAGAAACCATGGTGGGTGGAGTACCCTCGGTAAGGGTTAAGGGTAGAACTGGGGGTCATCCAACCCACTGACTCATATTTAATAAAGGCCAAACAATGTCCACAAAACAGGCCTGGAAAATTACTGCAAGTCCATGGTGTGAGGTAATATCTAGGGAAGGGAACTAAAGTCTAAGACTTTAAGAAGACAGAAGGAAGAAAAGCAATACCTCTACAGCAGAACATCCAGCAAGCAGTACACACACAGGCTAAATGGAGCTCATGTCTCACCATCATAGGAAATCCTCAGCCAAACAACTTTAACCTATTTGACTAGGCTAAAAAACTAACAGCTGCTCACAGCAGCTCATAGAAGAAAAATTACCAGTTTTGTTTAAACATGGTAATGCTGAGTCTAACTTGTCAGATACATTACCTATAATTGGTCAGAGCTCAGACATCACAATTCCACACAGTGCTGCTGTCCTCATGGAGTACAGCCTCCAGAGAACAAGTACTTTATTACATTCAGCAGCTTCTATTCCATAACTGATCAAGAGAGTTTGTGCCATGAATTTTTCATGTCTGGTTCAGTACAGGACTTGACTGAAGGAAAGTATTGTAATATTGTGGCTTTTTTAAAAAAAATACCCATACCCTTCTTAGCCATCACCAATTAATGGAATATTTGGGAAAATGCTATGCAGAGATAAAAATTTGACTTATTCTGAGTCATACCTCATTTATCTTCTTAACAATGTGTTATCATCTCCATTTTGCATATGCAGAAAAGTTCCTACAATTTCAAATAATAAGGGGGAAAGTGCTTTGAAAAAAGTAGTAACAGAGGAAGACAGCCTAGAGGCCACTGAGGGGGTTTAATTTCACCCTGGGGAGAGGGAAAGTCAACTGTTAATGACTCAGCAGGTAACTTCTTTGAAGATGAGAGTCAGATATTTCAAATCTTCAATAGAGAGGGAATACTTGTCACCCTGACCCTCAACATCCACTTAACTCATCTCCCCCTACAACTACACTCTGTCCTGGAGCTTAATAACTCCATAGGAAACTGCCTTTCTCAAGACAGAAGCCATACACCAAAGCCCCTATGATCAAAGTACACCTATCAACTAGAGGCTAAAGATAAATGAAAACTGGTCTGCTCTTGAAAGGCTGCAGACCTGGGCCTGAAAGCTATCTACAAACCAGGCAAGGTGAGCAGAACACCAAAAGGCAGGCCTTTGTTTTGTTTTGTTGAGTAAGACCAACATTAGAGAATACTCACGTCACAGAGATCTTACTAACTTTTAATCACAAGGCAGCTTCACAAATGCATGCTATCAATATAGGCAAAATTCAAATCTGATATTCTTAAAACACACTTTGTTTACAGTATTATTGTTTGGCAGTTTTTAAACTATATAAATGGTGATCAATAGTATATTTACCCCCAGCAATTTGTTTTAGCTCAACTTTACCTTTTTAAGATTTAGTCATGATATACACAACTCCTCTTCATTCACTGTAACTACTAAATACTCTATAGTACAAATACATGATTTACCTACCCAGTTTCCTGTTATGAGCATTTAGATTGTTTCCCATTGGTCACTAACACAAAAAAAGGAACAGAACTAAGTATCCACTTTGATAATCAACTTTTTTCCAATAGACTCAATAACCAATTCTTGAAATAAGGGAGATTCTACTGCCTATGAGTTTTGAAATCATAAAGACCTAGGTTCTACTCCTGGGACCAGCTCTGTGTTCTTGTAGCCAATCGTTTAAATCTCCTTACACCTCAGTTTCCTCATTTCTAAAATAAGAGTTAATAAAAATTACTAACATTTACAGTTGAAAGGACTAAATAAGATACTATAAAGCACTTGGGCTGGCACAGGTACATATTTAATAAATAGTAACTACTATTATTGTTAACAATATCTTTTCAGGAAAAATTATTTAAGATATTTTAGGAGCTTAAAAAAAGCTAATAATAAATTCTTTTAGCTGAGATTCTGCTGTATAATCAATAACGATTATCTCTCATAAGACTGAGCAACAAAAATTTTCACCAATGCAATGAATACAAAAGGGTGTGGGACATGGGAAGGCCTATAACTTGGGAATTAAGGAAATCGGTTTATAAATAAGAATGCAAGTGCTTCAATAAGTAAACTCTTTTAAGGATAAACATACTTGTTCTGAATCCTAATCCAGTGCTGCTCAATAGAAACATGAGAGCCACATATATTTTTTCTAGTAGCCACACAAAAAGGCAAAAAGAAACAGATAAAATTAAGTTTAATATTTTACTTAACCCAATATATACAAAACATCATTTCAATATATAAGTACTATAAAAAAACTAATGAAGTATTTTAGACTTTTACATTAAATTTTCAAAATCTGATGTGTATTGTACATTTACAGCACATCTCAAACCCAACAAGCCCTATTTCAAGTGCCTAATAGTCATACCTGCAAGTGACTAACCATGATTACAATGCAGTTTTAATCTACACCTTTTCAGAAAGATCCCTGTACAGTGTTTTTAGCAAAGACTTTTATCACCTAATACCCTCTAAGCTTTTTATCAAGGTAACTATCAAAGTGAGAACACACTCATAAATTTGAATTACTCTCAGTAAAAGTAGAACAGCCCCATATTATTATCAAAATTAAACACCACAGTGGAGGAGCAAAAAGTGGGAGAATAATGACTTACAGTTTACAAAGACATTCTTGAACATTCATTTCAACCTCCCCAAAACTCAGTAATGTAGATCCAATATAAATGGGATACACAGAGGACCAGAGTAAGTGACTTGCCAAGAGTTATATGGTAGGTGGACCAAATTCCATGTCTCCAAACTCCACAGGCTGCAGAGTTGGGCAAATGCAAAAAATAAGTGGGCTCTACATCTTTAGCATAGATTTATCCTGATTACTAAAAGGAAGGGTACTGAAGGCTCTACATTTCTCTCCATTTGCACCAGAACCTAAAATGAGGGCTTTAAAAGGAATCCAAATCCACACAAAACAGTATGAAAACAACATAGTAATGTTCAAGCAATCTCAAATATTAAGGTGAAATGATCCTGTTTCTGAAAAAAACAAGCTGAACAAAGTCTTAAGTAAATAAACCCCACTTTGGCTTCTCCAACCCAATATATTTTTGTTAAACTTGAACAAAACAAGTAAATTCACACTGCTTGGTGTTGAGCTTAAGAATAATTATTAAGGGTTTTTAAGTAAAAATGCAATTACAAGGATTACTGAATGCTGAACCCTTTTCAGAATCTCGAGGTTCTAAAAGTGAAATCACTATGGGAGAATAAGGATTTTGTTTTTAAGAATACTAACTGTAAAATAGATCCCAATTTTACTAGTGGTTTTCTTCAATGGTATGTGGGTGTGTGTGCTTTTAGCTCCTTTTCTTAAAATTCCAATTTTTCTAGAATGTTAGCTTTATAGTTATAAAAATACTAATAAATATATGAGTTGAACTTACTAAGGCATTTTTAAAAACAGATGAGGGCTTGATAGTTTCTTTTCAACTTAATTTATTATTCTGATGCCAAGCTCATCTTAAGTGACTGTTAACAGGATACCAAATTAGCAAGGGCAAATCTCTTTCAGAATTCAAGTTTAAAGAGCTCCGACAGTTATTAACTTTCTAATATTTTAAAATTTTACCGTTATAAAGGCGCTTAACATCAAGCTCATTTTAGCCTAAAGTCACAATCTCATCTAACTTTTTTGATGCTGCAAAATGAACTGATTTGAGTTTTTACCCCATCTCCACCCTACCCTTTCTCTTGAAAGAAGAGTGCAAATGAAGTGGCAGCCAGTAGGAGTTTAGGCAGTCTAGAATGTGGTATTACCATCCGTGGTGTAACTCGGATTTATCTTCCCCCTCCCAATCACGGAGACACACCGGTAAACAATTAATTCGAATTCAACGTGATAAGAGCCATCTGGAGATACGACAAGGTGCCAAATGAACACTCCAGGGGGAGATTAATTCGGCCTGCTAGGTGTGCCCAGGAAGCTGGGGCGGACTTGAAAATGCTTTCCTGAGCTTGACTTAAAGCAGGAATCCAGTGATTTTCCCAAAGGCTGGAGGTCTGAGTACTTTGCGCCTGGTCCTCCTCAGTAAGTGAGGCTAGCAGAGCCCAGGCCTGACCGCGCCGGCCCGGGAGCTCGGCTACGTGACCACCAGGCGCCCGCATGGGGCCGGGGAGCCAAGTCGCCCCTCGGCTGAGAGCTGGGCACCCCACCACCTGTTCACACCTTTCACTGTCACGGGTTGAGGCATGGCTCCGCCCAGCTCTGGGGGCGACGCGCAGGCACCAATCTGGGTGCAAAATTTGATCCCTGCCCCTCCCGGAACAAAAGTTGAACCGAGATTTGAGGGCCGGCAGGGCCTGCCGAGGCGGGGCGGCCCCGCGCCGGTGGCCTCCCGCGAGCACTACACCGAGGGGCGGGGTCCGGGGGGTAACCCGGACCCGCCTCGGGAGGACGCGCCCCGCACCCTCCGCGGGCCCTGCCCCACGCCCGGCGGCGCCCTCCATCTCAGCTTCCACCTCCTCCCAGGGGGCGGGCGGAGAGCGCGCCGGGGCCGGGGAGGCAGGCTGCGAACGCCGGAGGAAGAGCTGCCGGGGCCGGCCGCGAGGCGCAGGGACGCCGCGGCACAGGGCGCGCCCGCACAGCCGGGCCCCGGCTTTACCTGGTGCGGCGGAGGCGCGGGTGGGCGCCCGGCGCGGGCGGGCTGGCTCGGCGTCGGCCCTGCCTCACCTGGGCGGAAGTGAGAGGCCCAGGGTGACCGCGCCTCACCTGGCAGGCCTTCGCCACGCACCGGCCCTCCCCGCCTGGGGCGGGGCGCAGGGGTGGCGCGCGGTGGGCGGGGGCGGCCGGAGGCGACTCCGGGAGGGAACGCGCGGCGGGTGCTTCTCTGCGCGGCGGGGGCTTCTCTACTTTCTGCAGGTGAAGTTCAGCTGAGCGAGGAAAGGTTAAAGAGCCTGAAAAGGTGGGGGCAGCGGCGCTAACAGGGTGGGGAGATCCGGCTGGACAGGTGGGGTAGGAGGGCTGGGCGGAGAGCGAGACCCAAGATCAAGGAAATGAACGGAAATGGATGAGAGGATTGGTCAAATAGACATTCGCCCCTCATTGTCGCTTTCCTTTCCTGTTATATCATCCTTCCCTTGAGTTTTGATTATCCACTGACCCAACAGAAAATTATGTGAAGTGTAACTGGGGGTTATTATTCGTTTCTCGTTTGGTGAAGGAAAAGAAAGGAACAAATTTAGCATTATTTACCCATAATATGCCGAGGGCTAGTTAGTGCATGACCTCATTTACTCTGTGAAGAAACTTACGAAGAAACTGCGCCCCTGACAAGTGATTTGCCCAAACTTTAGGACCAAGACGGGATCTACTGACTCTTAAGTCCAGTGCTGACTTCGCTATACATTTTAACATTTTTATTCTTATTATCATAACTTTGAGGAAGATGTGTGTGAAACCTACAGTGGCATTGTTCCACTCTCTTTAATATAACTGATTAGAATTTTGATGATAGGCCTTTTACTTTGTCCACTAGGGTCCAAACATTAAAGGCAGAATCATCTTCAAGTACGTATTCATTGAATAAAGGCAGCATTGTTAAGCACTGTGGTTGACTCTGTAAACCGCCAAAAATGAGATACTTGTCCTCAAGGAAGATAAGGCATATATAAAAAACAACTTCGAAATAAAGACATCTAAGATCAGACACTTGCACTTTATATCGTTATTGTTAGTTTGCTTGTTTTAAAGGAAATATCACTTGTTAGCCCTGGTAAAAAGATACACATTTCAGCATGGCCCATACGTCTTTGGAACTATTGAGGGAAGTAAATTTACACAATAACTTAAATTGCCAAGTAGAATTAAGCCGGAATTTGCACAAAGATATCTATTGTGCTTGTTGAAAGCATCAGTTAAGACAGAAATAGGTCTTAACGGGTGTTTGGGGTTTGCCTAAGGTAAAACGTAAAAGGAAATGTACCCCAAGTCAGGAGGGCAGCATATAACTGGAAGCCAATTATCTCAAAGCATCACCTGGCAAACACTGGGTCTCTAACATTTGATGATGGCTATGAACATAGCTCCCCTTTCTCAAATAATAATGTGACTGAATTGACCATGAAACAAAGTTCAAACTCCTTTTCTTGGTATCCAAGGCCCTCTAAACTCCCCTCTTCTTGCTGACTCTTCAATCTAATCTACTTCACCTCTGCAAGATCTTTCTCTGGCCAACCAGGTCTGCTGTATGTCCATGGAATTGCTATACCATAGGTTTTCTACAGGTTTCATCCCCGTTCCCATGCCTGGAGTGTCCCATAAATCCTACCCTTCCCCCAAGGCTAATCTCAAAAGTCTCACCTCTTAGGAGAAGCTGCCTGCATGATTATTCCCCCAAATATCCATCTCTACCACACTTAATCTATTTTCTCCGCATTTCTGCCTTGGTAATGTAAGCTTCCCTTGGGCTTTTATCGGGAATTTTTTAAAATGTATTTATTCAATACATTTGGCACAGTTTTTTATTTTTTAACCTCTGAGGAGCCTCAAGAGTGTCTTATTCATAGAATGATGATTAATACAATTTTTTTAGAACACATCTCTGAAGTTAGAAGATGTGAACTTGAATCCTGACTCCACCTAAAATATGTGACTTTGGCAAGTTACCTAACCCTTTAATTCTCATTAGTGACACTGCTGAAACAGTGCTTATTTCACGTGGTAGTTTTGAAGGTTAAACGAAGGAATACGTGTATTGCACATACCTGGCACCCAGGAAATTTTTGGTTAAAGAAGCAGCATATAGATGGAAATGAGCTTGTGAGACTCTGCTTACTAGAGCCAGGAAAAGTAGTAAATAAAACGAGGCTAGGGCCGATGGTGGAGGACCTGAAAATGCTACAGAGAACTTTAGGTTATAAGACTTTATCCTTTATCTCTAAGAAATTAAAGAACTGAAAATTTTTAGTAGGACTTTATTTTTATTTTGTTTTTTTAAAATTTGATATTCAGTATTTATTTTTTAAAAATTTTGAGCAGTTTTAGGATCACAGCAAAATTTCAAGGAAGATAACAGATATTTCTTATATTTCTTATATTTCTTATAACAGATATATCTTATATATGTGGTCCTACACATGCATAGCCTCCCACGTTATCAACATTCCTCTCCAAGGTGGTACATCTGTTGTAACTGATGAACATAGATGGACACATCATAACCACCCCAGGTCTATAGTTTACCTTAGGGCCACTCTTGGTGGTGTAAATTGTATAGATTTGGACAATCCATGTATAATGGATTGTCATGTATACAGTAAGGGGCAGTACATGTATAAGGACATCTACCATTATATTATCATAGTATTTTCACTGCCCTAAAAGCCCTCTGTGCTCTGCTTATTCATTCCTGCACCCCTCAACACCTGGAAACCACTAATCTTTTTACTGTCTCCATAGTTTTGCCTTTTCCAAAATGTTAGATAGTTGGAATCATAACTAATAGCCTTTTCGGATTGGATTCTTTTACTTAGTAATAGGCATCTAAGGTTTTTCCATGTCTTCTCATGGCTTGATAGCTCATTTCTTTTTAGAAATGAATAATATTCCCTCATCTGGATGTGCCACAGTTTATGTATCTATTCACCTACTGAAGGACATCTTTGTTTTGGCAGTTATGAGTAAGGTTGCTATAAACATCTGTTGGCAGGTTTGTGTGGATTTAAGTTTTCAGTTCCTTTGAATAAATGGCAAGGAGCTAAAATAGGAGTTAAATAAGATTTTGAATATGACATAAGGTTTTGTCTTTTTTTTTTAAATGAATGAATATGCTAGAGTCAGTATAAAAAATGGATTGACAAAGTTGGGGAGAGGGCCTAGAATCAAAGAGGAAGGGAGAAGCTACTATAGCAAAATACATAGGAAACAATGAATACCTGAAACAGGGTGAAAATTCAGGATAAAAAAATGAATACTTAAAAATATCAGTTGCTTCTACCTACCACTTCAGCATTTCATTAAAAAATAATAATAATAATAATAAGGGAGAAATGTGGGATTCACATATAAATCAAGTATAAAAATCAAACAAATAATCATATCTGACTTGATTGTTTATAGTTCATGATGCATGATCAAAACCAAAAGTTTCTGTGATATGACTGCCCTTGTACTGTTCACCATGTAAGAACTTATTCGTTATGCTTCAGAAGATAGGAGACTGTTGAGAATTAGGCTTGGGGTTGATTAATGACTGTGCATTGAGTCCCCTATACAGAATTTTATTGTTGTTAACAACCATTTGATCAATAAATATGAGAGATGCCCTCTCAAAAAAAAAATATCAGTTGCTTACTGATTAGATAAACAGATTAAAGAAGAATAAAGCTGAAAACTGAAGTGCAAAAATAGTTATAAGTTTTGAACCTGATAAAAAGGATATTGGTGGTGAAAGTAAGAAAAGCCAATTTGTTCTGTTTTGTTTTTTGAGAAGCAGGACTCTTGATAAAGTCAGTTTTAAATCCTACATTTGATATTCAAGATGAAATGTACTTGGCATATAGTAGGCCTTACTAAGTGCTGAGTCAAAGTTAATCTAATTGAGTTTTAGACAGTTAGATTAGTGCACCAAAAAGATACAATCAGAAATACTTGAGAGGATAGCACGGATGTAGTAGAATTCCAAATGCACAAAAGACTATAATAAAGATCAACCAGATTTCTGATACTTTTAATTTATCACCAGAGAAAAATATGGCCCATTGTAGTCAAATAAACAAATTTTGCAGGGTGACAGCCTTTACTCTCTTTTTCTGTCCTAACCATGGAAAACAGGAGTCAGATTAATTTTCTCAGAAACTTTTGCTATGGGCAAAACTCTGTTAATGTAATTAGGAGCATGCTAAAATCAGCAATGGTGAGATCCATTGTGCAGATCCTTGAATCCCAAAGGAAACTGCTTCAGGCTTTATTGATAATCCTTTTCCTAATATTTCTACACAGCAATTTCTATATTAGTTGTGCTATTCATGTCCCTTGCTTTCTGTAGAATTTCTGTAGGATTCTCTAGGATTTTTGTGTGATAAAGATATTTGGCATTGAAAATATGCCTACTATTGAGATTTAAGAACTTCCTTACTATAATCAGACAATGTAGTAGTTCTGTGATCAGAGACTATGCTTGGGAAGAAATAAAGTAATAGATTTTACTGAGCCATGAGAAAATAGATTAAGGGACAGGAAGAAGAGGAAGTGAATTTTCAATAAAGCAGCAATTCAAAAGTCAAGATTTTTATTATTTCTTTACTTTCAGGGGAGATGGTTTTTGTTTGAGTTTATAATTGTAATTGTTCAAATTATTTCAAATGAAAAATGACACGAAGTTCAGCAATAATACTGCAATCAGCAGGAAAATACCTAATTTTTTCACAATTTCAATAAACTCAAAACTAAAAAGTTGTTTCTTTCACCTTCTGATCTTTAGATCTTTTCTTGAAAATCAAAAAAGAACATTTTGAAAGAAGGTAGTCAAAATGTAAAATGTATTTTATTACCAGATACTATGTGTAACAGATATTCTGACCTTTATGCCTGGATTTTACCAAATCCTTGACCCCTATCTCTTTCCCTAAATTTCACCTCAGGATGAGGCTGAGGGATAGTGTTGAGCTGTATATTACACACACCACTGTTTTTTTTTTTTTTTAAGTTAAAGTTAATGGTTAGTTTTCTAGGTTGCACATTTTTAGGTGGTCATGTATCCTATGGAGATACAAGTCCATTCCTTCATTTTGGCCTGGATTTTGAATTATTCTGATGCTAGTGACAAAATACTGTGTTCCAAGGACTGCTTTGGGGGCAATATCTTAAACCAAAACCCTGGCCTGCCACAGTAACTAGTATGTGCTTCAATTATAAAATAGTTCTTTAACTGTCTTTTCCCCTAGCAAACATCAAGTGCCTAATTACCGGATTCTTGTCTCTTCATATTTTGAGTCTGTATGTTTTCACTTACTGCTGGGTCACATAGTAAATGCTTGATAAATATTTTTATGGAAGGATGAAGGGAGGGAAAGAGAAAAAGGAAGGAAGGAAGGAAGAGATATAGGGAGGAAACAAGGAAAAAAGGAAAGAGAAGGAACAAGTCCACTTAAAACAGGAAGTGTAAAGATTGAACTAGTGAATTTAAAATATCCTATCACTTAAACTTCTAAGCATAAATTTAAAATTTTTTTAAATGTTTTAATTTGAAATGCAAAATTGGTTTAAGAGAAATTTTAAATATATTTACAATACTAAAATATTACTGCAAATAATTTCATGTCCTCTCATTCCAAAATGATACTTCTCATGATACATTATCCCAGGGCTCATAAAATGTGGTCTCTGGACCAGCAATATCAGCACCATGTGGGCACTCGTTGGAAATACAAATTATCCTGTCCCACCCTAGAATCAGAATCAGAAACTATGAGGGTGGGGTCATCCTTTCCTACTTTAACAAATCATACAGTTATTCTAATGTCCCTAAAATTTGGGAAACAATGCATAACACAATTCTTCAAAACTGGTACTACTGTGGATGAAGAGGCACCACTCAAATTCAAGTATTTTTACATTAGAAAAGAAGTATTGAACTTTCACATAAAAAAGTACACATTTTCTTCAGTATAAAATCCCCACTACAAAATTTTAGAATATATAGAAATTTAGTGAGAAGCAATGGAGGAAAAACCTACAACTTTTCACTTGGTGTAGTCCTAAACTCTTTGGCGTTCTCTTGTTATAGACCCTTTCCCTCACCTAAATTTTGAATTAAGGTGCAATGCCTATGTTTGTTTTGTAGAGTCCGTAAATTCTGTTCGTAGCAGCCTTCCACAAATTCTTCTCTAAGACAACAGGGAGGCCAGTGTATGGTAAATAGTAAGAGCACACAGACTCTGAAATCAGGCAAAACAATTTTATTCCAATCAGTAACTAAAGTCAGAATGCTTTTTCTCATCTTTGAGCCTGGTGTGTTTTCTGTACATCCAAATCCTACCAGGACTAAAACGGAGATAACATTTATAAAGCATCTGTCAAATCCCCGGCGTCACTGGGACTTTCGTGGACAGACAAGCTACAGCAAGGTTAGCTCGGAAGTGAGCATCAGGGCAGCTGATTCTGCAAACGAGCCTTCCGCTTTTGACCTTCACAGACCAGCCAAAGCTACCGGAGGTGATTCCGCAGGCCTCCTGCCCTTGCACTGGCCCTTTAAGAATCTCCTGCTCTCGCCCCGCCCTTCTCGCGCGCGAAGGCGGAACCGGAAGGCGTTGGGGACGCCCCGGTCCCAAGCATGGCGGCCGCCTGGGCCTCCGGGCTGGCTTCTCCGGAGACCGTGTCCTCCCAACTCTTGGGTATCCTGTGGTTCGTGTCATTCACCACAGGACCTTGGGGAGCTGCTGCCACCACCGCCGCCGGGGGCGACGAGACGCTTAAGTGCGAGGACCTCAAAGTGGGACAATATCCTCTGTGAGGGGCCTCCTTATAGGGGCGAGGTAGACTGGGTCGCGAGTGCGTCGCGGCCTTCAGTGCGGGTTAGGGTTGTACTGGAGGGAGTGGCGACCTGTGCCTCTGAGGAGCGAGGGGCCCTGGCAAGTGAAAAGAGATGTGGGCATCAGAGTGAGAGAGGCCATCCTGTGTGATTTCCCTGAGATTTTACTGCTTATTGGCGCTTCCCCGTATAATACACTTAATTCTTTACAGGTGGGCTTATTTGCTCAACAAACACATAAATCCTGACGTATGCCTGGCCCTCTTCTAGTCACTAGTAATAAAAAGATTGACAGGCTTTACCCTGGAAGTTTGCCTGTTTGGGCGGGGAGACAAGTAGTTAACGTTAGAGCCCTTGTATGTTGCCCACTTATTAACATATATAACCTATCATCCTCAAACTCTGAGGTGCCAGACTGCCAAGGGGCAAATTCCTGTTCCATTCCTGTGTAATGTGGGCAAATTATTTAAACTGTTTTCTCAGTGAAAATATAGATAATGGTAACCAACTGAAAGGTCTTTTGTGATAAATTAGTACACGTAGATCGCTTAGGACAATGTGTGGCACATAGGGAGTATTTGCATTAGCTATTTATTTACAGATGAGAAAACAGGCTGAAGGGGGATCTGTTATTGTAATATCTCTGATAAAGAACAATATTAAATGAGATTTAACATTCACATTAAAATAGCTACTTTTATATAAAAATAACTTTATACAAAATTGTACAACAGAAAAATTAATAACAGAAGCCAGAGATAATATGAAAGAATTCCATGAGAGAAAATCCTAAAATTTAGCAAATTCTATTCTATAGTATTTTTATGTGAGTTGGGGAGTCAGCCATTATTTGATTTTTACAGAGTAGCTCTAATTTGCTGAATACTGTTTTGCTTAGAATTTGAGATCACTGACCCAGTAAGTTGAGTCTGTTTCTTGGGAAAATGTCAGGGTGCTTCTCAAGAAAATAATTGGATAGTATGAAGAATTGTGTTTTTTGAACTCGAGAGAGAAGTGGCTGAGCATATAGGACTGTGAGGTGATGATAACTGGAAAATGTCTGTTACTTTTGGCAAGAAAATGAAGTTTCCAGTAGTGATTTAGAAACCTTAAACAGGAGTCAGGCTCTGTATCTCCAGAGACATCTCCTGAATATCTTACTTACCCCATTTTAGTGTGAATAAAATAAGAAACAGAAAAGCCCTCAAGGGTTTTGAACGTAGGTTAGAGGATAATTATATTTTTCCAAAGCTCGAAATCCTGCTGGGGAGACCGGGTAGACCCATCTGAAACAACCACCTTTCCTGCAGTCTGATGGAAAGTGCCCTAGGCTGGGAATCAGGAAACTTGATTTTACTACCAGTCACTTAAATGGCTTTGGATAAGCCATTCAAACTCCGAGCCTCAAGTTGTGTTTCTGTAATGGGGGATAATAGTATCTACCACACAGGGTTTTTTGCGTTACATGAAATTATATATACTGCAGTGCTTAAGGCTATGTAAATTAGTTCAAGCAAATCTCTGGAAAGTGATTTTTTTTTTTAACCTGAAGCTTTTTTTCAGTAATTTGGTAAAGATACTTATTTTCATGTTCTCTTGGGCCTAAACCCTGGCTGATGTTCTTTAAGGATGGCCTCCTCTGCTGGTGCTTTTAATGTGTAGTAAGTTAATATACCGTCGTTAATAAATGTTCAGATATTATTTAGTGAGACTAAAAGCATATTTGTGCTTGTTAACTTGGGCAAACAGCCTCTCTTTACATGTGAATATAAACATGAGTATATAATATATTAAAGATAAGACAACAATGTTGTATTGTCATGTAGTTCATTTCCTTAACTTTTCTTACATATATTTGTAAAGATCCAAAAATAAATGATGCTACACAGGAACCAGTTAACTGTACAAACTACACAGCTTATGGTAAGACTTCCAGAAACATGTCTTTAAAAACAATTTTTAAAACATATCATAGATGAATGTTTTAATCAATGTTTGATCACTAAAATAATTAATAAATGTGTGTGTTTTTTTCTTGAGTTAGTACGTTATTCAGTTTCCAGAGCAATTTAAAATTGGAGAACTGGCTAGGAGTTGTTAATATTTAACTTAAAAAATAATTTTGTTCTCTTAATTATATATACCAGGAAATGTTACATTTTCCGTAATTTTCTTTTAAACTTTTGAAATCAGTTTATAAGTCTTGATTCCTTTTATTTACCTAGCTGTGTTATAAAGAAATTCTTCTTTAGTTAGATTTTTAATTTCTTAAAAAGAACTTGAAACTGTTGGTTCAATAAGGTACAGGAAGAGCTTTATCGTCCATATTATGCACCTGTAAAATATTTGGATACATCCTAAGTATGAAAACAGTTTGGTACCAATTTTAAGCATGCATCAGTATTTTCTCAGACATTTTGATAATGGATAACACTCTCAGTCTGACGATTTTGGGGAGCCTGTATTCTGAAATATATGGAATGCCAAATAAAAATTAATAAATTTTGTTTTGTCTTTTATTCTAAAGGGGTATATTTTGGAAGGGAGGCAGATAGATATATGTTAAAGCTATTTGGTGTTCTTATTTGGCATGGTTCAGGTGGCAATTACATAGTATTTTGAGAAAAGAGCACTTTTTAAATATTTACTGATTGTTTTTTGAATTAGGAAATAAGCTGATAGTTGTTTCCTTTATAAGTAAAAACTATCAAACAGATTATGTTAATTAGATTAAAGAAATAATTTTTGTTATATCAAATAACTTTAGTTTTCAAAAGTATGCTCACATATAAAAGCAGATCTTTTATCTTTTTGTTTTTCTGTTTTGGCATGTTAGCCTATTTCTAATCAGCAGACATATTTGAAAGAAAGTTGTGTTAAACTTATAATTAACATTTTGCTGTATTCTGAAGTAGTGAAATTTTACCATATAAATAGTAATAGGTTATATATATACAATATGTATAATAATAAATATTGCTTAATATGTATGCACGTTTAATATAGATGTGGTAAACAATGGAACTTTTCAAAGAATCTTTATATATAAGTATACTCTGATTTGCTTGTTTTATAGTTCAGCCTTTTAAGTTATGCTTTTCAAACACAGAATAGAATTAACACATTTAAAGAAGGATCAGTTTTCAAATATTCAACCATTTATGTGAAAGATATTGGATATCTGTGAATACTATTGTGAGTCAGGTATCTAAATTTAAACTAGGAAGCAGACAGTCAGCTATTTCAAAAAAGCATATTCTAGCCTGCAGGATTCTATGCAGGTATAAGGATTTTGAAGGAAATACTACTAAAAAAAACAGCTTCTGCTCAAAGAGAGCTCTGCCTCCAGATAGGTGTCTTTTTTGTATAAAATAGGTTTGAATCCACTTAAGCAATTATTGATAAATAAGATTATAAACATATACAAATGATCAGACTGCTAGAAAGTATAAAGAACTTGGATGGCCTGCCAGGTAAGTACTCATAGGTGACATAAGTAGAGAGCCACAGGAAAATAAAATGAAGGCTTTCTATATAAGAGAATGATAGGATTATTAATTTGGAAAGAATAAGCAAAGTGCTTTACAGTCTGGGAGCATATGCAAAAGTAGATTAATAAATAAATGACTTTAAATCATTATCATGATTTTATAAAGAAAATAAAGTTTCTGAGACAGAAAAGAGTCACAGGGCTTCTGCATATGGATGTACAATTTGAACATGACACAGGTGTCTAGCTGAGAGCTTGGGTAGATTCTACCTAGGGTTCTTTTTAAAGCACAAAAAGCCAGTGGAGTGGCCATAGTGAATCAATCCTAAATTCTGAACAGATAGACTTCAAATAACCCTTGAAACATGCTTTTTTGTTCCCAAGGTAGAAGTGATTAACAGAAGAAAAATATTAGAGTTGTGAAAAGTGAGTTAAATGATATCTTTCATTCTTCTAGCTAATATTTTTCTGTGAGTATATGAAGGACTATTGCAGAATCTTCAAACTAAGTTTAATTTTCTTAAAGCATACTTCTTGGATAGGTACAAATATGAGGATGTTTTATAAAGAGGGGAGTTTGGCAGTAAAGAGAAGAAATTGGGACCAAAGGCAAAGGAAATTCAACTATGACTGTAAATTGGCATGACTTTAAAATGGTTCCCAATTAGCCCAGTGCCCATTAGCAAGCATCTTTATTTATTGAGAAATTATTTGTAATATAGGATTTAATAATTAAATTGATTAAAATAAATGGGTAAAAAATAATTATGCTTAATAGTGAAAATTAACTTATAAAATATTATTTATTGAGAACTTCTTACAGGCCAGGCTTCAGCTAGGTGGAATACATGATATCTAAGAGAAGACATAATCTCTGCACTTGAGTATTCTCTATAAATCACATAGACATATGTAAGCAAGGGTTTTCAATTTTCTTATCAGAGAAAAAAGTATTTAGACTCTGTCTCCAGAAAATTTTGCTCTGGGATTTGGTGGAAGTTCTTTTTTATTTTCTTAAGTTTTTATTGAATTATATTTACATAGAAGTACACATAAGTATAACTCAAATAAATTTTCATAAACTGGACACAGCTGTTGCATGCTTCCAAAACTATCAAGAAATATTCTTCAATCTAGAATAACTGGTGAATGCTTCCAAATCAGAACCCCACCCCATCCCATGCTCCCTTATAGTCACTTCCCGGCCTTAGTGATAACCGATATCTTAACTTCCAGCACCATAAATTAGTTATGCAAAGAGTGTGCTTTTTTTAGTGAAGTATAGTTGATATACAATCTTAGTTTCAAGTATACAAAGCAGTGGTTCACCAGTTACCCACATTGTTAAATTTTCACCCCCACTAGTGCAGTTACTATCTGTCAACAAGAAAGATGTTACAGAATCACTGGCTATATTCTCTATGTTGTACTACCATCCTGATCAGCAACTTATATTATGATTGATAATTTTTGTGCCCCTTTATTCCCTCCTCCACCCCAGCCATCCATCCCAACCCCTCCCTGATGGTAACCACCAATCACTTGTCAGTGTCAATGAGTCTACTGCTTTTGTTCATCTTGCTTTGTTTTGCTAAGTGAAATTATAGGGTATTTGTCTTTCTCCCTTTAGCTTATTTCCCTTAGAATAATACCCTCTAGGTCCCTCCATGTTGTCACAAATGTCAGAATTTCTTTTTTTATGGCAGAATAATATTCCAGTGTACATATGTACCACTTCTTTATCCATTCATTTATTGATGGACAATTTGGTTGCTTCCATTTTTTGGCTGTTGTAAATAACGTGACAGTAATCTTTTCCATATATCTTTTCAAATCAGGGATTTTGTTTTCTTTGGGTAAATTCCTAGAAGTGGAAACACTGGGTCATATGGTATTTCTATTTTTAGTTTTTTGGGGAACCTATATACTGCTTTTGACAGTGGCTGCACCAATTTACATTCCCACCAACAATCTAGGAGTATTCACACTTCACATCCTCACCAGCACATGTTATTTCTTGTCTTTTGGATAGTGGCCATTCTGACTGATGTGAGGTGGTATATTGTGGTTTTGATTTGCATTTCCCTGATAATTAGCAATGTGGAACATCTTTTCACATGTCTGTTGGCCATCTGTATTTCTTTGGAGAAATGTCTGTTCAGGTTCTCCGCCCAGGTTTTAACTGGGTTATTTGTTTTTGTGGTGTTGAGTCATATGAGTTCTTTGTATATTTAGATGTTAGTCCCTTATCAGATAAATTGTTCACAAATATGGACTTCCATTACTGTAGGTTGCCTTTTTGTTCTGGTGATGGTGCCCTTTGCTGTACAGAAGCTTTTTAGTTTGATGTAGTCCCATTTTCTATTTTGTTTCCCTTGCCCAAGGAGATGTGTCCAGGAAAAAACTGCTCATGCTTATATGTTCAAGAGAATTTTGCTTATGTTTTCTTCTAAGAGTTTCATGGTTTCATGTCTTATGCTTAGGTCTTTAATCCATTTAGAGTTTACTTTTATGTATGGATGTAATCCAGTTTCATTCTCTTGCATATAACTGTCCAGTTTTCCCAACACCAGTAATTAAACAGACTGTATTTTTCCCATTGTATATTCATGGCTCCTTTATCATATATTAATTGACCATATATGCGTGAGTTTATTTCTAGGCTCTCTGTTCTGTTCCACTAATCTATGGGTCTGTTCTTTTGCCAGTACCATACTGTTTTGATACATACAGCTTGAAGTCGGGCAGCATAATACCCTCAGCTTTGGTCTTTCTCAGGATTGCTTTGGCTGTTTCGGGTCTTTTGTGGTGTCATGAATTTTAGGATTCTTTGCTCTAGTTCATTGAAAAATGCCAGTGGTATTTTGATAGGGATTTCATTGAGTCTGTAATTACTTTGGGCAGGATGTCCATTTTGATAATATTGATTCTTCCTATCCATGAGCATGGGATAGTTTTCCATTTATTTTTCCATTATATTTTCCAATTCTCCCTCAATTATTCCATTAATTTCTCTTGTGAGTGTCTTATAGTTTTCAGAATACAGGTCTTTCACCTCCTTGGTTAGGTTTATTCCTAGGTATTTTATTCTTCTTGTTGTAATAGTAAATTGAATTGTTTTCCTGATTTCTCTTTCTGATAGTTTATTGTTAGTAGGTAGGAATGCAACAGATTTCTGCATATTAACTTTGTATCCTGCAACTTTGATGAATCCAGTTATTAGTTCTAATGGTTTTTTGGTGGAGTGTCTAGGGTTTTCTATGTATAGTATTATATCATCTGCAAATAGTGATAGTTTTACTTCTTCCTTACTAATTTGGATGTGTTTTATCTCTTTGTCTTGTCTGATTGCTGTGGCTAGGACTCCCAATACTATGTTGAATAAAAGTGATGAGAGTGGACATCCTTGTCTTGTTCCTGATCTTATAGGAAA